ATGAGTGGTCAGAAAAGTGGCTAATGAAATTCAATACCTCAAAATGTAAGGTAATGAGAATGGGTACAAGTGCAAGAAGGCCCAAGCTTGACTACTCGGTGGCTGGAGTACAACTTCAGGAGACAGAAAATGAGAGAGATCTAGGAGTAAACATATTGGCAGATTTGTCTCCAGAAATACATATAAATGGCGTAGTAAGGGCAGCATATGCATTCTTATCAAATGTAAGGGTAGCCTTCAGGCACATGGACAAGGAAATGTTCAGAAATATTTATGTAACCTATGTGAGGTCAAAACTCGAATATGCAGCCCCCTTTTGGAATCCGCACTTGAAAAAGCACATAGCTAAGCTTGAAAAAGTTCAAAGACATGCCACGAAACTGGTGCCAGAAATACGCAATCTCGGTTATGATGAGAGGCTGAGGGAATTAGACTTGCCATCACTCGAAGCTAGAAGAGTAAGGGGGGATATGGTGACAGTCTTTAAATTCCTTCATGGTTATGATAGAGTGGATAGGGATCGATATTTCGATATGGCTGGCTCTAGAACTAGAGGTCATAGTTTGAAGCTTCGGAAGAAAACTTGTTTGCAGGATGTAAGGAAATACTTTTTCAGTGTAAGAGTAGTTGATAATTGGAATTCGCTAAGCGAGGAGGTAGTTAATGCTACCTCAATCCATAGTTTTAAGGACAGGTATGATAAGTATCACTAAGTCTAAAAATGGAACCGATCAGGAGACGGGAAGATACGAGCGTTGGGCTCTTTCCCGTAAACACAATTAGGTAATCACAATTAGGTAATCACACACACACACACACACACACACACACACACACACACACATATATATATATATATATATATATATATATATATATATATATATATATATATATATATATATATATATAATATATATATATATATATATATATATATATATATATATATATATATATATATATATATATATATATATATATATATATATGCACTTGGTTAGGTTACCAAAAGTTAGGTTATATATCGTTAAGTTAGATTAGATTTCTAAGATATTTCTGGTTGAACAATATGTGCTTTTGGTGTATGTGTGTGTGTGTGTGTGTGTGTGAAAATTTGGTACCGTTTTGCGTGAGTTTTAGAAACATGTCAATATATACTAAATTAATAATATTCGTTCTAATTCTTCTCCAAAATACAAAATTCCTTATTCTCGTTATTAATTTGTATATATCAAATATAATCTATTCTTATTTATCTTTATTTATTTTTTCTAAGCTTCATAACTTCTCTTTTCTAATCATTGGAGCATAGCCGAACACAACAAGGCTGCTCGTATCTTCTTCTTCTTCTAATAGAATAGGATAGGGTGTCAGGGTCTTAAAAAAAAATAAAAACGCTATAGCAATAATAAAATAAGCACTTTCATTAAAAAAAAATAAAAACTTTTTCGTGGCAAGGACAGTTTGCGAAACCTTTTCTTTCTCATGCACCTCCTCCTCCTCCTCCGCCTCTTCCTCCTCCGCCTCTCCCGCAATTATTATAATGCCAAAACCGTCATTATCCTCTGACATGTTATTTAGATCACTCTTTTTTTCTCGGATTGGTCGAGACGAAATGAGTGATTCACCATCATTCTTATTATCATCATCAACGTCATCATCATCATCATATCCTCCTCCTCCTCCTCCTCTTTCTTCCTCTTCTTCTTCTTCTTTCTCTACCTCTTTCTTTTCTCACCGCTTATTGTGTAACATTAGTCCCCACTCGCAGGAGGGTAGACAGAGATAGGTTGATGATGGGGCATCAGTTCTGGATGCCCTTCATAATGCTCTGTTGCGGGATCGAAAGTGTTTTTCAGGCTCCTCATTTTCTGATTTACGAGCTCTACCACTGAGCGATCGCACCCTATTTTCTTTACATACATACATACATACATACATACATACATACATACATACATACATACATACATACATACATACATACATACATGAAGAGATCTGCAAAGAATTGAACAAGGAGTTTCAGTCAGTATTTACAGTAGAAAATACCCCACCCCCTCAGATTGCAGTGATAGAAGCTCAAGGGCCGGTATTAGAGAACATCAACCTTACAGCCACAGAGGTATGCAAAGCGCTGATGGATTTAGATGTTCATAAAGCTACAGGTCCTGATGACATATCCCCTCATGTGCTTAAAAAATGCGCAAACACAATATCAGTGGCACTAAGTATCATATTTAAGGAGTCACTGGAGTCGGGGGAGATTCCAAGATGCTGGAAACAAGCAAATGTGATACCTATCTTCAAAAAGGGAAGGAGGGATACGGCTCTGAACTATAGACCAGTTTCCTTGACCAGCATAGTTTGCAAAGTTATGGAGAAACTACTAAGGAAACATATCTCTCTTCACTTGGAATCCTTCAACTTTTTGTCAGTGAGGCAACATGGCTTCAGAGAAGGTAGATCAACAGTAACAAACTTATTAGAATTTTATGATGAGGTAAGCCAAATCTTACAGGAAAGAGAGGGCTGGGCAGATTGCATATTCCTAGACTTCCAGAAAGCGTTTGAC